TGGAGATGTGGTAACGTTCTAGACTTTATTCCGGAGATACCGAGTTACCAACTGGATATTTTCGTTATTTCTTTTTCAGTCTCAGGAGGTGAATGCCGGTACCTTGAAACTGGTTGCTTCCAAGTCCTTACCAATTCGACAGGCTGTATGGCTGTTTTTACGTATTTCTATTGGAGTTTGGATTGGTCCATTTGCCCCCGCCCCCCCCCCCCCCCCCCGCCTTTCATGGAAACCAAAGGTTCAATATCGTGTTCACAAAAGACCCCAACTGGACCCTGTACAAAGCCACCTGACTGCAAGCCACATCCTCACGCCATACGATTTGAACATCCACTCTAATATTATCTTCTCGTCAACGCCTAGATCTTCCAAGTGGTGTTTTCCGTTCGGATTCTCCACCTAATCGTTTCTGTATGCATTCCATTAATGCATGTACCATTCAAATTACGTTCTGGGACCCCCATGACAATTGCCATGAAACACTTGGCAATGAAGAACGAAATGACGTCATCTCGTTACAGGAACCTTGTTGACTGACTGGTTTACTGAGGAATGCAAAGCGATACAGACGGGTCATGACTGTCGGGCTATGACGTCACCGTGTACCCCCAATGGGTGGTATCGAGGTAGCTAAAAATTACCGCTGGGCTTAAGAAGGTTCAGACAGCATGGTTGAAACCAAAACGCTACCCGGTTCGAATTTCAGCCAGACACCTCAGTCCTTAAAACATTCTTCAATGAGGATAGGCGGTCTCGTGCCCTAGATTCGACTGTGGACCTCATGAATATTAAGAAGGAGTGCAATAATTGTTCCGCAATACTTCGTATGAGACCACACGAGATACGTACTACACATAACTGTGTTGGAGAAGGCTTCCTGTGCGGAATACCTATCCCTTTGTCCAAGAATTCTGCAAGGTCTCATTTCTGTACTTATTTCCATCAGCATCATAGATGAAAGGCATCTGTAATTAATTCAAACCAGATTGGTTTGCTATTTTCAGACGAGCTACACAAATTAAGCATCCGGCTTGATAGGGAACTCTACAGTGTTCCACGAATAGATAACACGAAAGTATTTCTCATCTACTTCAAACCAAATTATTATTTAAATAACAGCAGAAAGGATAGAAGATACTGTATTTTGTTGACAAGTCAAGACAGGGCACGTTTTAATAGGAACTGTTTACATAATTTAATTCATTTGAAATCATACACGCCCTTGTTTTAGATTCACAGCATGGTAAACTATAGCAGTCCGAATTTACAAGATTTTGAAAATCTGATAATCTGCTATTTTATTCACAGAGTAAGCGGTTCGAATTTAAGCACTTCCTCTACTTAGCCCTTTGAAGTTCAGTCGTAACTACATGTACCACCTGCATTATTAACAATTAATAACAGCATTTTTCCACATTGCGTATTTATGGGTTTCGTAAGATTTTCAGAATAAACAGTGATTATTTCCCTAAATATCATCAAACAACTTATCTCTAAAACGTTGGGTAATGTTGTAATGCTGTTGATTTTTGTTTGAGGTAAGTTCTGAATGCTTAAAAATATCTAGACGACCGTCGGCTTCACAGGCTTAATTGTATTGGAAATGTATACACAGTGTTTCAGTTGGTTGATAATGTTTAGGAAATAATTGCTGTTCATTCTGAAAATCACACAAAACCCATCAATGTAATCTGTGGATAAAATTCAGAACACTCAATGTTAAAATAAGTGACATGCGTACTGAGACGCTCAGGGCTTGTAGCACATATGAGGG